GGGAGCTTTGGGGCACTTTTTTCAAGAGGGAATATGAGAAATGATATTACAAAGAGCATTAATCCTGCCACTCTGTTACTGTGTTTCTTATACCCTTGACCCGGGGTAGGCAACCTTTCCCCTTTAAGGGCCGAGGGACTTCAGCTCCCAGAAGCCTCAGCCATGTTGGCCATTAGTCCCATGTTGGCCAATAGCTCCTGGGATTCTGGGAGCTGAAGTCCCTCGGCCCTTAAAGGGGAAAGGTTGCCTACCCCGGGTCAAGGGTATAAGAAACACAGTAACAGTGTTAAAGGGGAAAGGTTGCCTACCCCTGCCCTTTACCAATGATTCCCAAAATGGGTGATATACCCCCCCGGAGGTGGCAAAAGGTTCCAGGGGAGCAGTGAAGGAAAAGTGGGGCAGTAGGGGGGGTGAGGGAAAAAAAGGGATTGGTCTAGGTAGGGTATAAGAAACACAGTGACAGAGTGGCAGGATTAATGCTCTTTGTAATTTCATTTCTCATATTCCCTCTTGAAAATTCCCTCTTGAAAAAAATATCCCTTGCAAGAAAGACAAGGGAAACCAGCAGCCTTTAGGACCATGGTGGGGACGAAGATGGCATGAAACTTCTTTTCAGGATCCTCAAAAAACCACCACAGAGCTTTACTGATCATTTATTGATCATTTTGTGTGGTGCTGTCTTCTGATCTTTGCCTGCCCATGTGAGCTCACCCCCTTACTGGTGTGTTTTGCTAGTAGTGACAGTTGGGAAATTCTTGCGAGACTTGGGCACAGGACATCACTTGTGTGGTTCAGAGTGGCACCATTTTGGGACAGACTGGAGCAAAGAGTTAGAGCACATGGTGGCAGGGGAGAAGTAGCAGCAAAAAAGAGCTTTCAAATTTGCTTAAGCTTTATGAGCTTTAATGCGACCTGGCTTACAAGCTGGAATTGCACTTCTGCTACTGCTTTCTTTCATCAGACAGGGTGAGAGAAGAGGTAGCAGAAGAAACAATATTTTTTGTGGAGAGTGGACACTTGAATTGGTGTGAGGAAGGCATATCTTCTGCTCTGAGAGCATTTCTAAAGAGCAGGGTAATAATAATAATAATAATAATAATAATAATAATAATAATAATGTCTCTAGGGAAGGAGTATCTGTACTCAATTATTGGAAAGAGTCCTTTGTCTTGGAGTGGCTCTTGTACTTAAAATCTCTCCCTTTCCCAGTCCACACCAGTCTCCAGACCAGAGTGTGTGATCTCTGTAAACTCCCTACACACATAAACACCGCCCACACCTTTCTCTGCCCCAATGAAGGATTGAGAGCCCCTCCTTTCTGGGGAGAAGCTTCTCCCTTACACCTGGTTACCCTGAGAGCAGCCACTGAGCAGATGACTGAGCAACAACCAAAAGGCCTCTTGTCCATACTGGCCTTTGCTGCAAGGCTGGCACAGATGAGAGACTCCTTAGATCAGGGATAGGCAACCTTTTTGAGCCAGGGGCCGGGTTGCTG